AAAAAAAACAAGTATCTTCTTGAAGTCCCTCAAATTAAGGTAAAGAATAAGAACAAATCATTCTGGAAGAACGCAAAGGAAAATAGCTATAGATACTTAAGTGACAATAGAATTTATTCTCATAATTGTTTTAATAGCTTTTGTATAATCCTCATCGCTATTATGAGATACAAAATGTATTTATCAAATCTGTAATCATTATGCCAAAAAATCTGAATTACTGTAATATTTTGCATATTGTTAAAACTGTAACTTTAATTGTAAAAAAAGAAAATTAAAAAAAAAATTTTTTGAACTCGTATAGTACAAATGTGAGCCTGCCTTGGCCTTAAAGACAAGTTTCCCTTTTTGCAGTAGGAGAAGTCCACCCCACGAAATGACCCGTCTTGTTTCTGGCCTGTTCCACAGGGTCTCCACAGAGCTCCGCTATCGAAAACAGCCCTGGGGATTTGTGAAAACCTTCATTGAGAAGAACTTCTGGAGTGGACTGGAGGACTACTTCCGCCATTTAGGTGGGTTCTACTGTTCTCATTGGCCTGTGTTGCTGTTCCCTTAAGGGGGCAGAGGAGACTCTGAAACCATACAATGGTTTCTTGGGGTCCCTAATTCTGTCCCTAAAATGAGTATCAAGTTTGATGTGTCTGTGTATATGTATACCTTTCAAGAGACTATATTTGTAACTTTGAGATCATTAAGGGGGGAGGGGGTGTCTATAATTCCTTCCACCCTCAAACCAATCTTACATGTTAGTATTGAGCCATTTAATTATGAGAAAAATATGAACGCATCTATTTAGAAAGTGTGTGATATGCCCTACATTATATGGGGGTGCCGATGTTGGGAACACAGAACTCTAAGCGATGTTAAACACAACCCAGAGTGATTTGGGTAAGGTTGGACCTCAGAAATTCCTGGTGTGGGCATCCCTGAGGGCCAGCTTCCCAGGATACAGTAGTGGGAACATGCTTTCAGTAGAATGCTGCTTCCAGAGGGCATCAGGTTGATTTGACATCAGGGGAAGATGGCCTCTGATGTGGGCCTTTTGTGTTTGACAGAGACTGAGCTAACAAAAACAGAAAGTACCTACCTGGCTGAGATGCACAGACAGTCTCCCAAGGAGAAAGCCAACAAACCCTCAACAGTGCGGAGGAGGAAGCGTCCCCATGCCCACCTGCGGGTGCCTCACCTGGAAGAGGTGATGAGCCCGGTCACCACACCCACTGATGAAGATGTGGGCCACAGGATCAAGCACGTGGCAGGTATGTTCCAGGTGGGGATGGTGGTGTAGATCAGGGCTGTGGGATGGAGCATACATATGCACAGCCATTTTGCACCCTGAGTGTAATTTGTACATAATTTGAATCTGGGACTAAGTCTGGCACTCCCAATGCTGTCTACTCTTCTTGCCCTTTAAAGTTGCCCAGTCCCCGTTGAACCCTTAAGTGCACTGCATAACAAAAAGTAATCTTGAACTTATGTCACCTAACCTTGACAAATCGAAGCTCATGCTCCAGAGATGAACTATTTTATAAACTGTGCTTTGCACATTCATGAGTTCATCACAGCTGCATGCGGACTAGAGGAGAATGCTGTCTTCATGTACTCCCCACCAGAGCACTCCTTTGCTTTGAGTTTTAGATGCAACATTTGTGACTAATGTCACATTTAAGGAAACGGACTCTGAGAATGATTACTTGTATTACCCAGCATCATGTAGCTGATTATGGATAAAGCCAGGGCTAGAGCCACCTGCCTCTAGCCTCTTCCTTAGCCCAAGATCATTTTGCTCTTTATCTGTATATCCTAGCTACATGGATATGCTTGTTTTCTCAGTTGTCCAGTAGTTATCTGGTCCAGCCCTTGACCTTGCAGAGCTCACCTCCTCCTGTTGCAGGGCTGGAGGTGTCCATCAAATAATCCCTGTGATAGCATCATACATGGTTCCTCAGGATTCTTGCTTGACCAGGGTCCTCTGAGCAGTGAGTGGGCTTGGGGACTGTGATGATGATGGCTTATTTATTCCCCTACAGGTTCCACGCAGACACGGCATATCCCCGAGGACACTCCCAACGGTTTCCACCTGCAGAGTGTGTCCAAGCTGCTGCTGGTTATCAGCTGCGTGTAAGGCACTGCAGGCTATTCTCCCACACTGGTCCCAACACTTCCCTTTCCCAGCTGATGCAGGAAAATCATCCTCATCTCTCAGGCATAGGAGCTTCGTTACATTTCCTCCTGCCATACTTTTTTGTTCCTTTGTCCTCTGATGTCTGGATCTGTTGTTCAGTCTGTCATTTGTTGCCTTCTCTAGGTTTTTATGCTTTACTCAGTACTTTGGTATGTTAATCATCTAGAAAAAAATGCTGTACGAAGTATTCATGCCTTTTAGGAGCTCAGTGTCAAGTGAGTGAGAGGCAGGATGCTGAGAACCCATCCTAGGTAGGATACATGCTGACTGACAGATGCTACAGGGCATTTTAAGAGTCTATCTGTAAGAGATGCTCTGAGTGTTTGCTCTGTGCCCAACACTAGAGCCATGCACTCACAGAGTTCAGCCTTGGCAGAGCAGCCAGACAAAATCAAAGGATAGAGTCCAGGGAGACCATATACTTTAATCAATAACTGACATGGCATAAAACCATAGGTTCACATAAATTTGACCTGGGGTGATGGGAAGTCAAAGGAAATGAAGGCACAAGGTAGGAAAACCCTATTAGCTGTCTGTCATCAGTGCCTAGGACATGCTAAACCATTTTGAATAGGAGTCAGCTAACCAGCCAAGGACAGCTTTTCCACTTGGCTCAGCCTACTGCCTGACAATCCTATGCCTTCCTTGGTTAGGAAGAGTGTAGATGGCAGAGGTGGAGGAGAGGTACAGAAGATGCCCACAGGGGCCCTACCTTCTGCACACCAGGTACCAGACCATCTCTAGGTCATTCTTCCTCCTGTGACTCCTCCCCATCTCTCCAGGAAGCATTCTCAGTGAGATAGACTGAGGGCCCATCCTTACTCTCAGGAAACTGGAGGAAGCTCACAAGTGACATGGTCAGATTAGCATTGTGGTCATATGGTGAACTGATTGAAGAAGACTGGATGGACAGGGAAGGTGCTCCTGTACTCCTGAGTGATGTCCATGAGAGAGGCTGACAGACTGGGATGAAGAGCTGGAGTGGAGAGGTTGTAGATGGAAAGGCTCAATAACTCTTGGGTTATGTTACAAAGCAAAGTAAGCTGGGACTGTAGGTGGTTATCTCATTAACAGAAATTTGGAGTTTAGTGGAAAGTTGTCAGAGAAGACATGCCAAGCTCCAGGAGTGTCTGAGTTTCAGTGAACTATCCAGTTGAAAGGAACAGGTTGATGTGGGACCTCGTGCTTAGAAGACAACCTAAAGCCTTGGGTATAAGTGAGACTTTGCATATAGTGTACAGAGTGTGGCAGAGATGGGACCAGGGACTACCCTGGTGATTCCTCACAGGAGAAAAGCCTGTGGAGAACATCAGGGTTCCAACTAATCTTTAAGACATAACATGAAAGTAGGTACAAAATCCTTCTGAGTATAGCATAAGAAAGCAGGATATTACAAAATAAAGCAACTATAAAACTCATGTTTAGAACATCAGTGTAATGTGACTCATGGCACCACTGTTAAAACTACATGTCAGGTATTGGATGTTGGTAAATAGAAGACTCCATCCACCCTTACACCCTTGGCTTAGCTCTGTATCTAACCTGTTTCTGTGTTTTAATTTTCCTTAAGTAGAGAGAAAGCCCATTCACCCGAGCAAACCCTACAGAAGGTGTCAGCTCACTTCAGGGCTTTTAAGTTTAGAATAGACGTGATTTAACACAGCACAATCCAGGCTGGGGTTCTGCCCATAGCCTGCATTTAGAACAAACCAACAGCACAGCTTGCCTGTGTCTGCCAGGCTTTTGCTACCATCTGCCCTTAGTGTGATGACTCAACCTCCCACCTCTTTTCCTCTGTTTGGAGCACTGGGGAAGTCTTTCCTCGGACAGCACTGGAAAGTATTGCTTGACCTTTACTTAGCACCACCAGGATTATAAACACAAACCCAAACGCAGGCCGGAAGGTGGTGCACAGCACATGCTGAAGAGAGGTGGGTGTGCAGATGATTCAGCTTGTGCTATTATAGTTGGTGGCATTGAAATTCAACACAAAAGCTGAGTATTCTTATGGAGAACCCAGAATAGCCCTAGGGACCAGCAGCTGACAGACGAAGGAGCACTTCTTTTCGCAGTGCTGAAGACACACATGAGAAATTGGGCATTACTTTTACACGCTGACTTTAAACAGTCTAATGCAGAGTATAAGCTTTGCTTTGGGTCTTGGCCCTTTCTCCACCTGTATGTTTTGCCTTTCCAATTTGGCCATTTTCTTTCTTCCAGTGTATAGACGTCCTTCCTCTTCTCATGCTAAGAACTAGCTTTTGAGGCAGGACAGTATTGCGCACTGAGGTTATACTAACCCAAGCAGGTTAGGTATTATGTCCCTATTGGGAAAACAGTTTCAGAAATGGTAGGAAACGTGGTCAAACTTAAGAAATTCTTAGTGGTGTGCTAAGATTTGTGCCCAGTTCTGCCTGCTGTGAATGCTCTCCTCATCCCTTGCTGTCTATCCCATGAGCTTGTCACAGATGCTTAGACAGCCACCAAGGCTGAGAGAAGATCATTTCCCTGGTCTCTCTTCTCTCTTCCTCATGGCCTCCAGTCTTTCCCCCCCTGCCCCAAATCAGGCTGTCCTTCCCACACCCAGCTTGCTCCTGTCTGCTTTTCATCACCTCTTACTCAGACCCTAGGAAGCCTCAGCTGGTCCCCACAATCCCTGCCAGATCATAGACCCAGAGAGAAGGCTTTGTAGCTTCAGAAAAGCATCTATCAGTCATCCACTTCTTCCCTCAGTCCCACCCTTTAGGTTGTGTCATAACTTTGGGTCTTTATTTATTCCCCCATGAAAAACTAAGACTCAATCTAAAGCCACTTTCCCTTGTTTCCTGCCTTGCCTGGTCTCCCCATCTATTGTGACTTTGCTTCTAGTATTTCTCATAGATGCTCACTTGTTCTCTTGCTCCATTGAAGTGCATATCTTCTCCTTCCCCATACTCTGTGTCTAACCTCTGCCTCCTCCCTCCTTTTTCTTCCTTGCTCCCATTAGGATCTGTTTCAGGTATTGGCTCTATGATTGTTCCCCTACCTCCTTGCTTTTCCTCTCCACTAACGCTCTCTTCCCCCAGGCGCCCGGATCCAGGTGCCTGTGTCCCCTCTTCCAGTGTCTTCAGTACCTTTGCTCACATGCTTCTCCATGGCTCTCTGCTGTGTTCACCCCTGTTGACAAGACTGCTTCTTTCTCTCTCCTACCATTGCCTCCCTCCTTGACCTCCTCACTCCCTCACTATAATGCTTGGGATGGCCCAGTGGGCAGGTTGGCCCTCGGGTAGGGGAGAGCCCTAGCCCAGATTCTGTTTCATTGCTGTTGCTTTTCCCTCTCTCTCCCTCTCAGTCTGGTGCTGCTGGTCATCCTTAACATGATGCTCTTCTACAAGCTGTGGATGCTGGAATATACCACACAGACCCTCACTGCCTGGCAGGGTCTCAGGCTCCAAGAAAGGTAATACAGGCCTCACCCCTTTGCTTCTACCTCCACTCGTCCCAGTGCTGAGCCCTGACTCCTGCCTCCAGTTCTCTGACACTCCTCCACTGCCCATGCTCAGAGACAACCTTTGGGATTACCTCAGTCCAGCTCTGCAAATCTACCCTTAGAACTTCTGTTCACCTCTGATTCAAGACATTGGGGACCCAGGGGAACTGAGCAGAAGATAAAGCACTCTGATGTGACTCTTTATCCTTTAGGGGTCTGGGAGCACAGGCCAGCCCACTGAGCATAACTCCAGCTGCTGGGGTACCCTTTCTTCTACCCAACAGGTTGCCCCAGTCGCAGACAGAATGGGCCCAGCTCTTAGAGTCCCAACAGAAGTACCACGATACAGAGCTCCAAAAGTGGAGGGAGATCATCAAATCCTCAGTGATGCTTCTTGACCAGGTGAGATGTCCACATTCTCTCATTTTAGAAGACTGAGCTCTTTCCCTCCTGAACTGAGGAATCTCACCATCTCTGTCCCCACCCTCCTGACATCTTCTGCTTGCTTGTTCTTCTAGTCCATCCGTTGCTCTGATTTTAAAGCTATTCCTCTATGGAGTACTAGAAACACAAGGATTCCCCAAAATAACAACTAACACACAGTTTTATAGCAAGGATGTAGGACAGACATTTGGACAGAGAAACCCCTGTACAGTGATTGTCTTTCTTGAGTATGTATGTGTCCAGTTCCTTTGAGGGGCCAGAGAGATGGCTCAGTGGGTAAAGGTGCTTGGCCACCATGGTTGACAACCTAACTTTGATCTCCAGAACCCACATGGTGGAAGGAGAGAACTGACTCCTTCAAGTTGTCCTTGGGCCTCCACATATGCATACCGACATGCACAGAACAGCTATAAATAGACCCTTTTTGCTTCCTGACTGGTGAATATAGGCCAGAGAGAGCAAAGCAGTAGATGAGGCCGAGAGGCCAAGAGTTCTCATGTGTAACAGATCGTGGGAGATGTTTTCTTGTGTCAGAGCATCTTAACTCAGTGTTTTGACATGCTGCTGAATGTCCCACCTGAGGATTCTCCCATTGGAGCCATCCCTTTTAGACTGTATCCCATGGCCTAAGAATGTGAATTCCCTGATACTGGGCCATTAAGAGGCTGTCCCCTCTCTGCTTGATGGTTTTAGTTCCAGCAAGCAGAAAGCAAACCAGCTAATGATGAGACATCCCAGAGCATGAGTGCATGCTGTTTGTAGCCAGGAAGGAGAAAGGTGACTGTGATCCTTAGGAAGTTTGTGTTTGCTTTGGCCCTTTACAGCTGGGTGTGTCTAGAGTAGGGAAGAGCAGGAAAGCATCACAGGCTGGGACAGAGATAGGCAGAAGGTGAATTCAGGATCACGGTTGAAGGTCAAGTAAGCTGTAGTCCAACATGGCTTCTTAAAGCAACTGGATGCTTAGAGAGTTTTTAATTCATTGATGTGAGGGTCACAGATCCCTAAGCCTCCGTCAACCTATGTCTGGGTTTCCAGTGCTGGATTAGCTGACCCCTTTCTGCCTCAGGCTGTGCCCCCTGGGAACCTTGCTCCTTTGAGATCTGAGGCATGGTCAGCGGCCTGCTGTAGAGGGGTGTGGCAGCCATTGCTTTATAGAGAAAACTCATGAGAACACTGTCTTACAGATGAAGGACTCGCTCATCAATCTTCAAAACGGCATCAGGTCCCGGGACTACATGTCTGAAAGTGATGAGAAGAGGAACCACTATCATTGACAAGGCAGGACCAGGAGTGACTGCAAGAGGCCTGTGCAATACATGTACATAGACCCTATAAATATATATAAATATATATATATACAGAATATAAATATATATTATATACAGATTTTAAAAAGAGATAATGCCTATGTACCAGGGAGAAGGAGCGGGACCTCCCGCCCCCTGTGCCGGCCAGAGCAGCGCTTTTCCTTCCGTGGAGGGGCTGAGGAGGGCAGGGACCACCTCTCAGCACCGGCTTCCCCTGATCCTCCTCCCATCTTCTGTTCCTCACCCCTTCCTTGCTGGCCACTCTTGGCTCCTAGAAGGGAAATGTTGCTGAGCCAAAGTTATGCCTACGAAGACCCTTGGACCTCGAAAGAAGTATCAAGGGGGCATTGCTTCAGGTGCTTCATTCCCTAATCCCCTTTTGATTTGTCTCCAAATAAAAGAAAAACTGTTCTTCTCCCACCCAGTGCTTCCCCAGGTCTTCTTGGGAACCGGAAGCATGGAGGGCAGGAGCCCAATCCAGACTCCCCAGGAGACCATGGGTTAGGACCATGCTGAGAGCCAGGTGGCAAGGACTGTGACAGCTGGCAAGGCTGTATTTGTGGGCCTGGGCTGTGGAGCTGCAGGGTCCCAAGCACTGGCATCTGAAGGGGAATCTTCCTCAGCCACCCCTGCACCTTCCTCTGACCTGGGTAGGCTGTGGACCCCATAAGGGCTGGGAACTTCTAACTCTCCCACTCCCTTTCTCTCTGGTCTTCTCCCAGGCTGGATCTGGGGGAAGTGTCACTTTTTAGTGCCTAAAGTCCTATTGTTTCTCTGTGCCCTAAGAGCACATTGTTTATTAGCCAGGGTGGAGCCTTTTTGACCTTGTTAACACAAACCTCTTTTAGTGGTTATAAACAAGTCAGATCTGTGGCTCTCAATTCCTTCCCTTTGAGCTGTGATTTTGACGTCCAGGATAAGTCAGGGTATCCTTGTCCCTCCAGGCTTTGAGAGACAGACAGTGCTCTAGAACCATGGATTTCAGGGTCTTCCCAGAATCCTGTGAGTAGTGAGCAGAGTAGCCAAAAAGGGCTGACAGCATCATTTACTCTTGGTGAAGAACCAATATTAGCAGTGGAGGCAACTCTGTCACTGTGTATAGAAAAGTCTGAGCCATTGGAGGGAGATTTTTGGCACAGATGCATGTGTTTGGGCAGGGAAAGGCCAAATGGAATCTATCCCCATTTCAGTCCTGAGTTTCTCAGGTTTGGGAGTGGGGGTTCTGACAGCTGTGTGTAAATCTCTTTATGGTCTCTGGCCCCAGAGAGGTACAGGTAGAAGGAAGATGTTGGGTAAGGAACGTGAGCCTGCCAGGGCCCTTTCAGTGTTGGCCCACTGAGACTTATGCTTTTCTGTGATTGCAAGGGGCCCTTCTGGCCACATTCATCCTTCTATGGTAACTACTGCTTTTCCATCTGATGACTAAAGGAGTCTTGCCAGCATCAGGCAGAGCTCATACAGATCCTTAGCAAAGCATCCCAGCCAGTTTCACAAAGAGAGCTTCTATAAGCTTGTGACTTCTCAGTGCAAGAAGCAGAACATACCCCAGGTTTCCTAGAATATCAGTGCAAAGGAAGCAAGTTGTTACCCATTGTCTGCCCCCATGAGAAAGTTATATTCTTCTCTTAGAATTGCTTGAACATCCTATTTTGGTGGTGAAAGAAAGGCTTTGACTGCAGTCTCTTGAGAAATTGGTTTTGGTATTTCTCAGAAGGCAGAATCAGAAAATAGGATATATGCCCCCATCACCCTCTGGTGGAGGAAGAACAGGCTCCAGTGGTTAGCTAGTCTCACCACTGCCCGACTAGGGAAGCAGAGGTTAGGAAACAGATTCACTGTGATCCTTGTACAGTGGACATAAGTCCAAAGCAGCTGGTTGCCACCGGTTCTTGCCTAGAACTTTGAGGGAGACACTGGTGAAGGTCAGTGGCCTCGAAACAAAGGGGAGGAGGTATGGTACAGGTAGTAGGCAGTTCCCTGTTGGAATAGCCAGAAGCCCAAAGTACTCCCAGAAACCTTTGAAAGCAGAAAATGGAAATTCTCCAGTTTACTGCATTTATAATTATTTACTTAGGCTTAATTATTAAAGTCACCATGGGTCTTTTAGGATGACTTAAAAGGTATTCATTGTGAGGGTTAAGGAAGGTAACAGAAGTAGCCCTGGCCACAGAGAGCAGCTTTTTCTTGACCCTCAGTATCATTCAGGGGAGGAGCAGGCAAGAGGGAAGCGCCACCCAACTTGTCAGAGGAACCTTCCTGCTTTCTGATGATCTCAACCCAGGAGACTATATATACACATAGAGGATGGCCTCTAAGAATCTTGGCTCTCTTCTGAGTGCTTTCTATTTTAGTAATTGTTTAAGCTTTTAAAACAGTAGAAAACTAACAACTTGATTCATCCCCAAGCACAACAGTTTTCCCTTAGTCAAGGGAACTCACCATTGCAGCCACATCTGGTAGTAAAACAAATACATGACACAGAGTCCTGGCCAAGAGCCCAGTGAGTAACTAGCTGTCCATAAGAGAATATGGACGCTAGCACCTTATGGCTACTTTTTCAGGTTGGCAGTTTTTGCTTTTTGTTTTTATAGATGTAAGTATGCTTGGGTCACGCACAAATCTTTCTGTAAAGATCCATATGGGAAAACATTAGAGTGCTTGTACTGAACTAAGAATTGAGAACCCTGGGCTTGAGTCCTGACTATGCTGTGGAGAATCAGTGTGACCTTGGACGAATCCCTCCCCACCACTGAGATTCTGGATCCACTCATAAACAGGAGAGGCTGGGGTAGATTGCCTCGTAAGGTAGGTTCTAGCTTTGGCCTTGACTGGGAGATTAGGCCAGAGACTGAAAGACTGGGAGTTCTGAGTCTTAGAAGATGGCCTGCCAGGGAAGATGAGCTTTGTTCTTGGAGGCTAGGGAGTCCCAGTGGCAGGTAGAGTGTTGCTCAGTATTAACCTGGGAGAATGTTCCTTCCTTCTTTGGCCTAATTTTAGTTCAGGAAGGGAACTTCCATTGGACTTTGTCTAAGCTAGGAAGCAGTCAATGGCTAGAGGAGCTCTGTCTTAGAATGAGCCCATCTTCCATCTCTAGGCACTGTGAATCCTTTCATTTCCTCCTCATGGATGAAGGGCACAATGGAGAGAAGCCATTCCTCATTCTAGAACTTCTATTTTTACTCAGCCAAAGCCCTGTTGGGGGTTGGATGAATTAGGGCACTGGCACTAAGGAGTAGAGAGGACCAGGAGACCCCAAGAGGAAAGCTTTTCCAGAAGTGGATTCTGTACATATCCATAGCCCCTGACCTGTGCTGGGGCTAACCTATTATATCATAGGCAGCAGCATCTCTAGGATGAGGTGTTAAGGAAATGACTGACTAGGGAGAGACTCTTTCTGGACTTATTTGTGCTCCCAGAAGGGTCCTTTCTGTGCCATACCATCCCACTTCCTTAGCTCTGCAGGGCAGCCAAAGCCAGCCCTTCTCACTAGGGCCCTAGGAGAACTAGCACTCTTCTCTCTTCCCCCAGGTGGCAGGGCTGTGGTGGCCCTCCTTACACACCTGGGCTCTGCATGCCCACTCCAAAACTCTCTTCCTGACTCTATTCCCCTCCCTGTCTCTAAGCTATGGGACAATCATTTCGTGCTTTGCCGTTCTTGATCCTCATCCCCCACCCTCTGGCAGGCTGGCCCCACCCCCTCCCATCTCCACATCTTCTTCCAGAAGATGCATTTGGGTCCAAGAGGAGTGTTTTCTGGAAGGCCATCTTTCAACGCCCCTGCGTTCCTGATGTGAACCAGGAATTTGCACATGGTGTAGAGAGCTCCCTCGCCCACCTCTCTGCCCAGCCTCGTTACCTCACTCCTGCTCCAGCCATTGTGACGGGCTCAGCCAGCTCCCTGTATTGATGTTTCATGCAACAGCTCAGGGGTCTTGTGACTGGAGGTCCTCAGCAGGACTGGGAGCCCGGACTGGAGCCTTGGCTGCTGGCGAGAAGCACTTGCCTGCCAAGATTTGCCGATGCCAGACGATCTCCCCAACATGCGAATGCCTGATGGACATTGTTATCTCTGTCCCTTGGTCATCCTTGCTTCTCTCAACACAATAAGACATTGCAGAAACAAAATGGCCACCCATGCTCCAGGCAGGACTACTGGCTGTCTGGGGAGTGGGCCCTGGCTTCTGTGTTGTGTGCGGAGATTGCACAGAAAAAAAAAAATCCACTTTTGCCAACAAGAATGTGCGGCACCCCACATCTTACCTTGCACTCTAGGGCCAGACCACTCTGCATGGACCAGACCATCTTCCCAAACCCATGGTGCTTTTTTCCCCCTCACTAAACCTAGATTCTGAGGTGGGGAGGGATGGATCAGAGGCCATGATGGCCCCCTGGATAATCCTGATACGGGGTGGAGTGGGGTGAGGCAGAGGGAGCAGCCCCCAACACCTGCACTGGGCCACAAGCATGGGAAAGAACACAAGTTGGTTGCAGTTGAGTTGTCTGGCCGTCTGTATTTGGATCTTTAACTGTACTTTGCCTGGCGCTGTGCGCAAGGTCTGAAAACTTACTGCTAGTACCTAGAAACATACAAGGCTACGAAGCCAAATCTTAATGTAAAGTAGCTAGAGCCATGGAAGTGCAGTATGAATTAAAAGAAAAAAGTATTGAATTACAAATAATAAATGGTGTGTGTGTTTATTGCTCGATCCGTCAGTGTTCCTGGTACAGAGTGTTTCCAGTGTCCCTAGATCTATGCACAGCAAGTCCTGAAACTGTGTGTGCTTGCATGTATGAACACAGACAGTTCTCCTCTTTGGGAAGGGAGGCAACCTGATTAGGTGGAATAGCTAACTTGTTTGTTTGGTTTGGTTTTTCTATTTTAATTTTTATTTAATTCATATTTATTTGTGATTCACTGCATTTAATTAGGCTTCCTTATAGAAACATGAGGGTAGGGGGCTGCCTACTGGAGCACAAGCAACTTAGGATTCTCTTTCCCACTAGATCTTGAAGGAGGGGTATGGCTTCATGTACCCCTCCCTGATCCATGCTGGAAGGTTGAAGAGCCCAATCCTGTTCAGGTTTTATGTAGGAAGCCACAGTTGTGGAGTGACCATGAGTGCGACAGCCATGTGTTATCCAAAAGACAGCGTTTCACAGCATGGCTCTCCATCTTTCGGCTCTTACAATCTTTCTGCCCCTTCTTCAATGTTTCCTAAGCCTTGGAGCAGGGTGAGTTTAAACCTTCAGATCTGAGCACACATTCAGTGCCACAATTAACCAGCAATGTGGCAGTGGGCACCACCTGTCACCCCAATACTCAGTGTTTAGGGATAATGTCTCTTACAAAATGTACACATACAGCTCTTAGTACGGTGGCTGGTGGTGTACTACAACAAATTTAGTCTTTAAGATTTATTTTTAATTATGCGTCTATGTACATGTCTGTGTGGGTATGTGCACCCATGACTGTACCCACAGAGGGAGGCTAGAAGAGCATTGGACCCCCTGGAGCTAGAGTTACAGGCAGTAGTGAGTCACCTGGTGTGGATGTTAGGAACCAGACTTGACTAGCTACCTCTCTGGCTAATTTTAAATAAGAGTTGAATAATTTGTTATAAGAGTTGTGGTAGACTGACTCCTGAATGTTTCTTGTTAGCTTTTCCCTTTGGGGGATCTTGGCCCTTCTAGGAAGGTAGATACTGGGAGACAGCTTTGCCTTTAAGCCCCCTAAAGTGAAGCCAGCTGGGGCCTCCCCACAGTAGATCTTCCTTGTGCCTCATCACCTAGGAAATGTGTGATACTAGGCAAGTTTATCTTGTGTTCTTGGGGGGAAAGGAGGGAAGGGAAGGCTGAATCACACATTTAGCATGTTTAGTTATATGGGGAAGGTTTTTCATTCTCTGGTCCTGTCTAGTGGGTGCAGATAGTGGTACAGGTTAGGTGTTAGGTAGGAGCCGAAGTCCGTAGCTAACACATGCAGTAAGTAGAGCAAACCTAGAGCGAGTGGTCCTTAGAGACATTTTATTGACATGAACAGGGAGTTTACTGGAAACACATGTGTGCACATGTCCACACACAGTCACACACACACACACACACACACACCTTTACAGACTTAAGATTATGGAATTCATTTAGAGTCTTACCTACTGCTTGACACAAATGTGTGTTGAACATGTAGTAAGTAGAAGATCATTTTCATGAGTAAGCATACCCAATCCTGCTTAGAGACATTTGTAGTGAGAAGGTGAATTCACAGAGCTAGGGCATTCTCATTTATAAAAAGATGTAAGAGGAAGTGGGGTGTGTGTGTGTATGCTTTGTTTATTTCCATGTGAAAGTGGAAAAGAATCAAAGATACATTTGATATGTGTCCAGCTCTTGCTTCTTTCTGCAAAGGTCACAGCCATTTCCCTATGGCTTATGTCAGGTAGATTCACAGATTCTGAGGAAGGTGGGACTATAGGTATACACTATTACACTACACTTGGTTCATAGTTTACTTTGAGGTACTAATAGTGATTGGGGGAGAAGACGGGGCTACTGTCTCTTTTTGTCTTTCATTTTACTTTTTGCTTTTTGTGGCAGGGTCTTTAACTAGATATGTCGCTGAGGCTAGCCTTGAGCACATCTTCCTGCCTCCAGGGGTGCTGGGATTACAAGTGCATACTGCCACACCTAGCTTGTTCTCCTTTTCTTTCTTTCTGTTCCTTATTGTCTGTCTTTCTGTCTTCTCTTATGTGCATGTGAGTGTTTGTGTGTATATGTATGTATGCATGAACTTGTATGCGTGTGCATGTGGAGGTCAACCTTGGGTGTCATTCCTCAGGTGCTGTTCACCTTTTTTTTTCTTTTTGAGATATGGTCTCTTACTAGCCTGGAGATGACCAAGTGAGCTAGGCTGGCTGGCCTGGTCAGTGAGGCCCAGGGATCTGCCTGTCCATGCCTCCCCAGCAATGGGATTACCAGTGTGTGCCATGATGTCTGGCTTTTTACATGGGGTCAGACTCAGATTCTTATGCTTGTGTGGCAAGCACTTTACCAAGTGAGCTGTCTCCCCAGCTCTGTCTTAACCACTGATTGCTTTCTCAACATAATCTTACATTGAAAACTTCCTTTCTAGGCAAAACCAGAAACTCAGGAAAGCTTTTGTGTGCAGGTATTTGAGGATGGAGAAACCAAAGGATAATGCTATTAAACAGACTGAAAATGAAGGCTGAGATATAGACAGGAACTGGCTGTCCAAGTAGTTCCACGGAAGGTCTAGGGCTTGATGCAAGACCGAGCAGACAAGAAAGGTTATAGGGCAAGGAGCTTCAGACCCAGTGAGATAAGTAATCAAGTTCATGGCTCTTAAGCAGTAAGAAAGGGAAAATTAGACTCAGCCTCGCTTGACCTTTAACAAATTGTTATTGAGGATCAGTCACAGGAAATATCCAGCACCAAGACAACAGGTGGGATTTCTACATGGTTATAGCCCTTGAAAACTCTTCTAAGCCCTTTAATAGGAAATAGCATGCCAGACAAAGCTTCCAGCACTGCACACATTTAGTCTGGGGTTTTTTTTTTTCTTATCAGATGGGAGGAAACAAAGATGCTGAAGGTCTTAAAGTAGGCTGGTGATCACAGTACCTTGTTGATTTATCGTTATGAGCAAGCCTCCTAGAAAGGTATTCTATTGTGATTTTGGAGAAATGATGCACAAGCCAACTAGACAGACATAGAGTGGGACGGACTCCCAAAGCCTGCTTCTAGCATCCATCAAGCACAATGTAAGAAGCAGGACAGTAGTAGAGTCTGAGCTAGGAGGACAAGGAAGGAAGCAAAGAGCTGGATGGAAGCTAGGGAAGGAGGAAAGACGGAAGGGAGGAAGAATGAGGGAGGAGGCAGCCAGGGCCCAATTTGCAAGTGAACTGAACTGGGAGTGAGCTCTCCTGTGACAGTAAACTAGGTGACCTGATGATTTTGCAAAGCTGTTTGCTGTCAAAACCTCAGTTTCATCATTGGAAATACTGAACGTTAATAGCATTTACATCGCTCACCAATTGTGGAGGAGAGAGAAAATAATCAGAGTCAAAACTTTTTTTTTCAAGCCAGATGGCTATAATGAAAATACCAATAAGAATTGAGATGCTAGAAAAAGATCAGGAAAGAGAAGATACCTTGTAATGGACATGTGATTGATATCAGTCAGGATTAAAAGCCACTCAGAATTCTGTTATCTAGATTGGATTTTTTTAAGAAGAGAAGAAGGGACAAGGCAGTCAGCATACTGTGTGATTACAAGTTAGATGCATGGTTGAAGAGAAAGTGGCAGAAGTAGCTTGCGCCTGCTGCAAGGTCTGGCATCAACCAGACCTGTGACTCAGTAAGCCTTGCACTAATTCAAGCCTATCACCCTAATTGCAAAGTAAGAAAAATGTTCGAGAGTAACTCTTTTATTTCATAAGTGTGGTGTGGAAAATTCACCAGTGAGAAGGGTCTTGAATTTATTGCAAGTACTTTTTTCAACGAAATCAGACTCTTAATATCTATTAACGGTCTTGTTTCAGGTACATCCCCAGGGATGGAAAGGGTGAAAAGTGAGCTCATCATGTGAAGCCCATCACCAGTGGAGAATGGCCTTTCCTGTATATCTCCCTAGATCTGAGGGAAATTTGTCTTACTGAATCCCACTTTTCCATAAGGCCTCTTGCCCTTGTTATCACTAGGGGCTAAATAAAGAATATTGCACTTGGACCAGTCATTAAAATTAGATATTGATTAAAAATCTTCCCACTGACTACTGTTCTAAAATCTAGAAAAAGTACCCCAAATACCCAAACATTACAACTCTAGAGGTAAGGTATTTAGAAGCCACCCACCCACTGTTACTTTGCTCGTTATCCATTGCTGAGTTTTTCTTGATAGAGATATCCTCTGACGCCATCTTTTCTAGAGGGTGTTTCAGATTCATACATCTTTGCAAGAAATTCTTCAGGTCTATCTCATATCTTCCGTGTCTCATGGCCTTCTGAGCCAGTCTCTGGTTCTCTGAATCTATCATAGTTAACCTCAGCTGAGCAAGAGGCATAGATAGCTACAGTCTTGCCGAATGTCTTCAAAAACAAAATCTTCCGTCTCAGAGAGGTTGAACTGGGCGGCACTGAAAACTCATCTCTGATCCAGTTTAATCACCTAAGTGTCCTGTTCAGTTCAGCCCTGTTTGAGTCTCAGCAGCAACCCTGGAAAATGAGGAATAATACTGATCCACAGATACTACAAGAGGAAAAATTTAGGAATGTCAGTCTCCTGCTCATGTAGTGTGCTCACCAGCAAGGATAGGATACACACCCATGTTCCCAATAAGATCAGAATATGTTGTATCATATTTAAGAACCACTTAAAATTCCCTGGGTCCTTCCCTGGCTTCTTAAAAGATGTGGGTTCATTCCAGGCCTTGAGGACTGTGGAGATCTAATCCTGGAGCGCTAAGCTTCAGAAACCATCCCAGCCTTTGCTTAAAGATTGTTGTCCCTGGAGAAATGAGAGGGGTTGCTTCTCTCTGGTGTTCTAGTCAAGTAGGCTGTGAACTTAGAAAAACTGACTTCAATGGAATCCAAGTACATGGCATGCTTTTGCCTTTAATCCAAGCTCATCACTGCTTCCCTCCAGTAAGACATCCATTCTCATGCAGCAGTGGAGAATGAACCAATTCTAGCCAGTTAGGGGCAGAGAGAATACTACTTCCAGTGCTTATCCAGAGTCATTTGGTGCACAGGGGGCAACTCTAATTGAGATGGGAGCTGCTTCTTGAAAGTGAGAACAGGGTGAGGTTGAGTCCATGTAGAGATGTTGGCTCCTCAGATGTGGTACAGTCAGGATGTGTAGAGTTCTGATGGAGCTTGGAAGTGAGAGGTGGAGGTATGGTGAATAGGACGGATGAGTGGGACTCTTGGGGCATCTTCCTGATGCTGCTGACATCACTGAATTTGGGATATCCAGTCCTTCAGGGTTCAGGTCACCTACCAATGACAGAATAACTCACTGAGGATGTCCAGCCCAGCCCTGCCCAAATACATTTTGAACAAAGAGGGAATGGAATTAATATGCCCTTGTTATCTTCAACAAGGGGATTAGGTTGCCCAACACCCAGGCCAAAGTCATTCATCTCCTGAAGGGTTTGATATAATACAAAGCATTGTGACTTGGGCATTAATTTAAAGAAGTACCCTGAGGGTGGGGCTGCTGAGAGAAATAGAAATTGGTGTAAAGGACTGAACTGAAAGTCATTTCAGTTGTGGATGGTAAAAAAAAAAATCACTTGTGAAACATGCCACCCGCATCCACTTTTCCCTCCAAAATCCCTCACATCACCTCAAATCACACCACATTATTCCTCCACAGGTACCACAGAGTTCTCCTTGTTCTCTGAAGGGATAGCAAGGTAGTCAGACCTGTAGAGGGTATGGGAGGGGAAGAGAAGCAGGACTTTAGTAGTCATTGTAGAGAGAGCAGGAAACAGGAAGACATGCAGCCCAGGGACATGGCTGTCTTCAGAATGGCTCTGCAAGACCTTCCAATTAAGACAGAATTAGAGTTGCCTTCTCAGAAGATCACAATAACGCCTCTCCCAGATTTGTGTGTGAACATTTCTCATTTATCCACAGCGTCTTCAGGACTTAGTGTTCTCAATTAAAGTTTGGGGTAAACTGAAGGGATGTGAAATTATATTTCATAGTTGCTTTGATTTTCATTTGCCTGATTACTGGTGAAGTTGAGTGTTTCTTCATATAAAATATAGGCTATCTAGATTTCTACTTCTATAATGATGTATTTGTTCTAGCTTTTCTTCTGAAATATTTGTTTTTTTCCTCAGTGATTTTCTTTCATTGTTTCATGTCTCGAAAATTTGCCTAAGTATATTGACACTAAATTTTCCTATGGTTTCTTGCCATAAACAATTGATTTTTTTTAATGTACAATGTAGTATGTTTTCCGTCTTTAATTTGTGCTTTTGATATTTAAGAATCTTCTGTATTCACACATATTTTCTTCTGTTCCTTTAATAGAATTTTCAAGTTTTATAGTCTACTTTTAAAATTGACTACCAATTAATTTTGTTTCATGGAGAGAAGGGGAATCTATTTTTAGTATCACAAACTTTTTTCTCTACTAGATCCAAACTTGACCTTAGCCAAAAGGCCAAGAAGCAATTCTGTGGTATCTTTATAAGAAATCTTTGTCTCTTCGGAGAAAATTCCTACTAACTACGTCTTCCAAATTTATTGTTTTTCTCTTTAACCAACTTAGATCAGGGGCGGGCAAACTTGTGGACCACAAGCCATAATTACTTGTTTAAAGTGTTTCAAACAAGGAAAATAAACACTGACAGAAGTCCTGTGTGCTTTGCAAAACCTGAACTATATCAAGCTGTGCTTTGTTGTAAACTGTTGTTGACCCTTTGGCCTTCTAAGTGACCTGAACATGAACTAATCAAATGCCTTGAGAAACCAATAGAGATTTTTATTAGAATTTCATTGACTTTGAAGATTAATTTGGGAGAGAATTGTTTAGAATAGTGAGGCTTTCTTTTCCATCTTTTTGCTTTTTCTTATGTTTGCAGTAAAGCTGTGCGATTTTCTTCTTCAGAGTCTCTTTTGTCATTTATTCCTGGTTATTGATGAACATTTGTCACTACTGCAGTTACAGTTTTAAAGCATTCTTGAAGGATTTTAAATATGTTCCTAAGTTTGTTGCTGAAATGTAGGTAATTTTTGTAGTCTTGCATGACTACATCAGGGACACATTCTGTGAAATGTATTATTAGATTATCTTGTCATTGTGTGAACATCACAAAGTATAAACATAAAGATGATTACGGTGTCACTAGGTGATGTGATTCTGTGGAACTACACTATATGATACACGTCTGAAGTTTGATTTGTTACCAGCAAGCTTATGGGATGTTCTTAAGCATTCTAATAGTTTGCTTAAGGAAATTTTATGTAGATAATGATACTTTAGGTATGAATAATGACAGTGTAGTTTCCTACTTTGTAAATCTCAATCCTATTTATCTTTGTATTTGTGATGGTTAGTAGTAATTGTCAATCTGACATCTAGAAGGCAAGTCTCTGGACATACCTGTGAGAGACTGTCTAGATTAAGGTCTAGCCTCTGAGAATGTCTGTGAGGGATTGTCTTGATTGCATTAACTGATGCAGGACAACCCATTTCAGCTGTAGTGCCACCATTTCTTAGGCAGGGACTCCTGGACTGTATAAGAGGGCAAACACTGAGCTGAGCCCTGGCACACACACACAGTGGTTGCTTTCTGCTCTCGAGGGCTGATGTGCTGTGGCCAGATCCTGCTTGCTGTGCCTTCTCTGCAATGGTGGACTGTAACCTGGAACTCTGAGCTAAGTAAACTTTTCTCCCATAAACTGCTTTTGTCAGACTATTTTATCACAGCAACAGGAAAAGAAACTAAGAACTTTACTTAGTAGTTTACCTAGGATTTCAAATATAGTATTGGATAGAATGAGAAGGAGATGGTATCCTTGTCATGTTTCTGATATTACAAACATTTCTTTCAAAGTTTCAACACAGATGATATTTGATATCTTAGTAGTTGCCATTTATATCAGCTTAAAGGAAGTTTGTGCTTAGGTGTAGATTTATGTGTTTACCCTACCCAGGACATAAAATGCTCCTTGATTTGTGGGATTATGTCTTGATATGTGATGGCAATGCATTTAATATGCCTACCTTACCAAATATCATAGCTTACTTAGTAACATGGTGCCCTGCAGAATGATCTGCTGACTGGAAGCTGAGGCTCACTGTGGCTGCCCAGCATCAGGAGAGAGCTACCTGTATATTGCTAATCTGAGAAGACATCAAAACCAAACTTTGAAATAGTTTCTACTGTATATATAAATTGCTTTCATATCCTCCTGAAGTAAAAGAATTCTTTGGTTGAGTCACCCTGAGTAGTGGACCGCAAGCATCATGGTTCTGATTCGGGAAGTCATCCCTTTCCCCAGCCACTGTATCTCTGAGTACAGGTAACCTGCTCTTCTTCGTCTGTCTTCTATAATGGATCACCTCACTTTCCCCTTCACATTTCTTGATGGCATTTCATCTTTTTCTCTCTCTGCGCTTCATTCTGTGCAGTTTCCTCACATTTATCTTCTGGTCACCAGGATCTAATCTTCTGTTGAACCAATCCATTGAGTATTTTATCGATTATATTTTTTTCCAGAAAAAAATGCTATTGTTTTGTATCAAATCTATCAATCTTAACAAGGTGTTTACTCCTTGGCTTTTTGTTCCTTTTTATTACTGTCTGCATTTTGTTTATTTTTGTGTGATGTTGGGGATTGAACCCAGGGCCTCAAACATGTAAGGCCTGCACTTTACTGCTGAGACATATCCTCAGCCCTCCTGTAGCTGTTCTAAACAAGCTTATTTTCTTAGCCTTTTTTTCCCAATACTTTTTTGTTGTGTCTGAATCTCCTGGGACCTAACCCTGCCATTTGTTACTTCTCTTGGATTACTGCTCACCTAGATTGCTTTCTACAGTAACTTTTAGTTTTGCATCAAATCATGACTTCAGCTCCAGCAGCAGCTAGCCTGGGGAAACTTATTAGGCCTTGGTAGACAGTGGGTCCTCTCTGAATAGTTTTTCTCTTATTTCTACAATTTCTATTGAATTTCGCATCTTAAGTTTCCTTGATCATGCATATCTATTTAAATCCTAAACACCTTGACAGCAAGCTTGTGGTTACTCATTTCCAAGAATCTTTTTTTTTTCTTCTTCTTGAAGTCAGGCCAACACAGATAAGTTTCTTGGCTTTTCTCTAAGCTGCCAAGCTGATTGTTGTCTGGTCTACCCTTTGTGTGACTGGTAGCTCTCTGGGGACCCTGCCTCTGCCGGAGGCCTTTGTTCCAACTCTCTTTCTTGTGTGATCCCAATTGAAGGTATATCATGTCCAAGCCTGAGTATTCTCTCTACTCACACATGAGCACTTCCTGTTCAAGCATTGAAGTCCATACAACTAAGTCACCTGAAATTATGAGCTTCCTCAGAATAACACTTCTTTCTGTATAATCAGTCATAATTTTTCCCCCTAAGATCATGGGTATCACACAAAATGAATTAAAATGTTATCAAACATTTTCATGGCCCTAGGCATTTTGAGTATTGCCTCAGCAATGTTGCTAGAAATCTGTGGGCTTCCCCCGCCCCATTTCCTCTTCCCAAATAAGAGGCCAATAGGGTCTTAAGACACTCTTTGTTCTTATATTTCTCACATGGTCTCACTCTTGAGTGACTGGGGTCTTGGTGAAAGTGGGGAATGTGGAGGTTGCACGCTAGAAGACTGAAGATCCTACTTAGGGTATTTAATTACTACCAAGTTTTAAAAGAAAGACTATGTTGCGTGGAACTCCATAGCTAATAAAGGACAGTGCCCAGCTGGGATAAAGTGTTCCATGATCCAGAGAGAGCAGCTGAATGGGACAGAAAGAATATGAATGTTAGGAGTAGAGAGGCCTGGGCTCATTTCCCAGTTTCTCCACTCCATGCATCTGGCCTTGGCATTTATGAAATGATTAGGAAAATGGATAACCCTATGGGGTTGTGGGGGCAGCTGATGTTCTTTTCTGTAGTGGTTGAATGTGCAGGCCAAGAGGCAGCAAGCCTGAATTCCAACCTCAATTTGCCTCTTACAGTGGCCATAAGAAAATGCTTCCAGACTTACTATTTTCATCTGTAAAATGGATATGGTAACATATCCTTCATAGATTGTTAAGAGGAGAGAGGCGGCGAGTATATATATAGAAAGGCAGAGGGTGCTTAAGCCTTCCTCTGAGAGCACATGTTCTCAGTGTGTGAGCTCTCATTATCACTTGGGTATCTTTGGACTTACGCATTTTCTTGGGCAGCTTCTTCAGCCTTGGAAACCTTTCTGTAGCAATAGATCATCTCAATGAGCAGCCACAAGGTGAGGAAGACCAGGAGGATATACATCATGATTTCTGAGACCACGGAGGTGAAGTCCTCTCCAGCTGCAAGGAGGAGAGTGAGGTTCAGAACACTTGTGTGCAGAGAGCCAGAATGGTCCTTGGGGTCATGGATCCGTGAAGCTGGTTTTCAAGGATACCTCAAATAAACGCTGAATGTAGAGGGACTCATAAGGGTGTCAAAGGAATTTCACATCCTTTGACTCTCCTGTGGGCTTTCTCACTTGACTTTTTTTCAGCTCTTCTGGAGTTAAGGATGAGGGAGAGCGACGGGTCTAAGAAGAGAGCAGGGGAAGGAATCTTGGAGCCAAAGTGATTATAGACACATGTGTGCGCATTGTTAGTTGTGTCTAAGTTGTGTTAAGTTGTTCTTAATTTGTAAAGTGTTGGAATAATAATTCACACCACCCTGCGTTGTCGTGAGTGTCATATCACTTAGTGTATTTAGAGATCGTTTGTGTGGGCTGTGATGTATCTCAGGGATAGCACACTTATTTTTGAATGTGCAAGGCACTGAGTTCATTCCTCAGCACCATAAAACAAACAAACACAACAACAAATGTCCCGTTACCAAGTGTGAAAGCTGCACAGACTGAAGGAACATGCCTTATTCCAACTCCCTATGACTTCCAAGCTGTAGGTAATGGAGGTGATATCCCCAGAGGGAGGGGTTATTTAGGGCTACCACAGTCAGCCCACCCAGTGGTAGAAATATGTTCCCTGTGAGCCTGGAAGGAGGAATGAGGGTCTTCCAGATCATGCCAAACCCAAGCGGTGGAGGATTCACTAAACTAATTGGATTGTCCTCAGAGTTCTGCTTCTGAAACACAGATCCTGCCATTTCCCATCTCAAAACCCTTCAGTGCCCGCCTCCTCCTGTTCCAGGATAAAGCCCAACTCTGGTGACATGACATGCACAGCCCTTCATAATCCTTCTTCCTCACTTCCTTTCCATTTGGTTGGCCATAACCTTATGCACTGTGATGTTTCTGACTATCAGGTTGTATCTTCTGCCTCTTCCTCTTCGTAGATTGTATGCCCCATCATGGCCACCCCTGTCCTGGGACCCTGTCTTGCTTTTTAACCTCCCCAGGGTTTTCCTAGATTGCATTGAGATCCCTTCCATGGGAAACTGTTCTTAGCTTCTCATGTAGAGTTATTACTTCATGCACAATTTTCATCATCCCTGGCTGAACTGTGATGTCCTCCTTTTCTTCTTGTCTGTGTGAGAATGTAATTTTGAATTGTCATCCTCTGTCTCATCTTGATGTATTTGAAGTGCGCAATAAGCATTTGTTGAAGGAGTGAATAAAAAAGTATCGATCTTTTTTGGTACGTGATCAACAGAAATGAAAAAGCATGATTCATGACAAATGTCCTAATGGTGTATATAAATACTCCTTCCTAGAAGGAAGAACGTTGCATCCATCCCTCCAGTCCCCAGTTCCCACTAGCAAATTAGATTCATGGTTTCCAGTTAGCTACAGGGCAGAAGTCATTCCCAAGGCATCCCTGTTAAAAAAAAAAGCATAAGAATGACCTTCAGTCATGACCTTCAGCTCAGAGAAATGCTCCAAATCCTTGAGAAACATTCAGGTGTCTTTCTCCCACTGGAGCTGGAGGTCATAGATAAAGCTGGAGGTATGTGGACATGAAAACATCTCTCAAATGTCTTCTGATGGGCTTGCTGCAACCTGATAAATTATGGGTGACATACTTTAAAGCTTGGAACCTCTATTTTTCTGTAATAGCTCGGAAGCAGTAACATAGGAAAATGCCCTTAGTATTTCTGTCACTTATAGGAAGAGAAGTCTCGGCTTTCTTCCTCAGAGTGGGGAGGTTGAGACTAAGCCTGGAAAAATCCAGCTTGAACATAGAGAACAGACAGACTCCCTGGGACTGCAACAATGGAGGAAACAGACACATGTGTGCCTCTGAGTGATATAAGGGCATGGAGATCTGCCAAGGGGTTACAGAGGCAAAAAGAAAAGGGCAGAGCAGCTGGGGGTGGGGATGGTGGTGGAAGGAAAAGACCCCATGGGAAGAGAGCTAACGACTTGGTAATCGAAAGATCTGGGTGCTGGGCGGGCTTGTTACACCACTCTACTTCCTGTTCCTAAGCCTGCCCTTCACTCCTTCCAGTGCTGTTCTCAGCCACAAAAGAGGGGCACCAGGGCTATACCCTCCAAGTACCTGAAGGGGGTGATCTGAACACATTCCAGACCTCACCCCGAACCTACTGGTCACATCTGCAAGGGTGATGTAGAGGCACCTGGATTAAATGCTGTCCAAATTTCTCTCCAGCCCTACCATCTGCATAGCTCTGTAGTTCTAATTATAGACTTGTTTTTCCTTCTCTTCTTACCCCAGGCTTCCTCTGGTGCCCAACAGACAGACTAGCTCAGCTGTGCCACACTTTCCCACTGGCTGTGTCCCCAGGGGTCTCTGGAGGCCAAAGCCTGAGAGAGCAGGAGGTAGAGACACACAGGCACCTGCTTTTGGTCTGGCAGACACCAGCCAACATTTCCCGATGGCGAACACAAGAGGGCACCAGGCTCCCTTCCCCAGGGAGGAGAGCTGACATAAACATGAGAGGGTAATGGAACGTTTGAACAAATGTTTACCTCAGAGCTTCCTGTCCATCCTGGTTGCTTCTTACCAGAGGACACAGTTCTGAGAGGGGAAATGGCTTGTCGAGTCTTCATTCGGGTGGCCTGAGCACTATGAACTTTCAGCACTGGAACTGTCTTCTCCTTGAGTTTGTGACACTTTCTATGTCTTTCACTCTCAAGACCCAGAAATGGTCACTTCCTTGATTTTATCACAATGGCATGGTTTAAAAAATCAGCTTGCAGCCTAGCGGTTAAGATCCCTCCAGTTCATCGCTTAGGAAGAGCTCTATCTTTAATTTGACTTCTGTTTTCTTACCCTGCACCACGGCCTGCTCACCATCTTATACCTTAGGACAGCAAAAGGAACATTCTGGCAATAAAACTGTCTGAGAAAAGGTGAATGAGATGGCATAGTGGTTTAGCCCAGATGAGGAAACACAAAAGAGAAGCATTTGGAAAGGCCATGAACCAGTTTTCCAAGTCTACAAGTAGCACAAAAACATTTTGTGACATTTCCCCAAGATTTTGGACTCAGATTGCTAGACAAAAACATGAGGTTACCAAGAGTACTTCCCACCTGCTTATGGGGAATTAGCTGAAAGAGTCTGCAGATTTTAAAGACTGGAGAGCTATCTACACTTGTGTCTGTCTCCTAGCTGAGGTTGGATATGTGTAAAGAGAGGCTACAGATGAGGAAGGACTTGCATGTGTGATAGTAGAGACAGATAATTACCTGTAAAACTTTGGTTCAGAGGATGGCTTTCAAACCATGGTTCCCAGAGGTATCAACACCCTTTAGCAATGTGTGAGCCGAGGCAAATTCTACAAAATGCAAAAATGCATTTTTGAAAGGCCTCAGGAGACCTGAAGCTCCCTGAGGTTTGAAAGCAACTGGTTTGGAGGTACATACCGCTCACAGACAGAAGAGATGACTTCTAGATATAGCCAGGGACTCAACACCTGCCAGATGAAAAGGCATAACTGAATTGTTAGGTTTAGGCCTCGTGGAGGCTGTCCTTTCTCTAGGGGACCAGGAAGAGGTCATGCTCCTATCCAAGCCTTTCTTCTTTGAGGAGAGACACAGAAAAGGACTCCAATGAAGTAGGTTGTGCAAAGTGTGTTATGCAAGGAAGGCATGTCTGAATGCATAGGTGTGTGTGCTCTCTAAGGGTCTAAGGAGGACAGTATGGAAAGCCACTGTCCTCCACCCACCCCCCTGAAGAGATCTCATGCCTTACCCTCTTCAGTGACTCGGAGTGGGATTAATCGTGTGGTCTTCACAAAGGGCCTGTGTGCCTCAAATTCAAACTCCCTGGACACATTGCAGGTATAGAGGCCAGAGTCATTCAGAGTGACATTAAGCACGGTGATGGACACATCCTGCAGGTCCTTGCTTCCATTCCACTGCAGACGGCCCTGGAAGGGGCCCTCCACCTCCTGGTGGCCATTTCGATACTCGTAGATCTGCAGAAAGAGGAGCAGAGGCAGGTAGAGGCAAGAGAGCCAAGATGGGCACAGGGTAGAGGGAAGAACAGAAGTTTTCATGGACAGAGCAGCTAAGGGATGATGTTACGAGAATATCCAGAAGATGGGGGTGGGATAAAGAGGAACAGAGGAAGACAGTGAAGACAGAGGTCAGCATGTAAAGGCAAACAGGCGTCTGGACATGAGGACATGGTGAGGGGAGACTGGCAGGAAGAAGCCTGACAGGGAAGATGGAGAGGAATGAAGGTGATAGACACACCCAGGAGACCTGGAGCAGGAAACTGAAAGGATGGAGACAGAAGGGGAACAAGGAAAGATAGTAAGAAATGAGGCAGACAGTGGGAAAATGAGGTGTACAGACCAAGAAGGCAGCTCTATCAGCAAGGAAGACTCCTGACAGCCCTGAGCTCAAAGCCTGACTCAGCTGGTGCCCATTATGGGGGCTGTGGCACAGGCTAGCCAGGTCCCAAACAGGAATTCCTAATGCCAAAGTGTGGGTGAGGAGAAGACGGCTGACAACGGAGTGTGGGGCTTTGGCTTTGGGTCAAATTCGGTCTCTTAAACTTTCATCCTATGACACTTTTTTCACTGTAGTCTCCAGGAGCCACAGGTGGTAACTGAAATTCAAGTTCATATTCCTAGAAATTGTATCATTAGTTCCTCAGTTATACCTTCTTGTTTGGGGCAGGTGGGGACGCAGTGAAGGCAGCTAGTGCATGACCAGGTCCATGGGCCCTTCACATCTGGTCAAGACCCCTGGCTTCCTGCAAACTGGGTGACTAATCTCAGTTGCAGCGTTCCTGGTGTGTGACTATCAACACTTGGCTAGACTCTGAGATATCTCTGCTAGTTCCTGCCTGGCACCAAAACTGGGCCAACCTATATCAAAATATCACATTGAACCCAAAATTATGAATGAATCCACCTTTAGTAAAGAAAGGACAAACAAAATTCAATTCCCTCTTGCTGTTGACTCTAGCAGAAGTTTTGGGGAGGAGTGACACCCTCCCATGAGAGCAAGGCAAAGCTAAAAAGGGCCTTGAATCTGTAGTCAGGCCACCAAACTCTAATCTCTTTTACTAACAATATTACTCTCTGAGCCTCAGTTTCCATATTTTCTCTTTCTCTAACAAACACTTAATAATGCGCTTCCCATATTCCAGAGACTGTTCTAAATGCATTATAAATTAGAGTTCATGAGTCCTGGTAACAGCCCATAATGAAGCTTTAGTTTTTCATCCCACTTAAAATAAAAACCCTGAACTGTCAAGAGGTTGAACAGCATGTCCAAGGACATTTAGCTAGTGTGGAGAATCAAACCCAGACCACTTGGCTCAGAGTCAGTGAGAGTATCAACAGTGTTCTGAAAGAGCAAGCCCATGGGCACTAGCACTAACCAACCAGAGCCAACATTGACCCCGGCACAGGTACAGAGTCTGGAAGGTTCCCTGTTCTTCCAGGAGTGAGTCCCTTAGTGTCTGGATCATTGGAAAGGGAGGTCTGGGGATTCCTCATGAGGAGAATGGTGGCATGGTCACTCAGGATACAGCACAGCACAGCACAGCACAGCACAGCAGAAGTAGCTGCATAGTTCACCGGCAGAGCTATCCTGGGCATACGAATTGATACAAGCTTTGGTCAACACTGTTTTTATTTCAGTGGGACTGTGACAGTCAAAAGGGCTCACCTGTACCATTTTACATAATGATGCCTGTGTTCTTTCAACTTCTCCACTAAATCCATCTCATAGGACTGTGTAGAAGATGAACATACCTGCTAGAGGCCAACAGGGGTATATAGCACACAGCAGGCTCTCAATCTGGTTTACCTCTTTGTCCTCCTGTTTGCAACCAGGGCTGCTTCAGCTGGCCAAGTGCCCTGCCTTGCACAAACCCTGGGCTAATCTATGACTGCCAGTTATCTACTAAGGAGCTGTCAGTGCTCAGGAGAGGAATGAATGTCATCCCCCAGACTGTCAGGAGCCAGGTTTACAACAGCACAGGGCAGCAAAAGAAAGGCCAGAGGCAGCAGTCTGACATACAAGGAAATCTTTACCGCCCTCAGGCCTGTAGAACCATTCAACCACAGTGGTGGCCTCCACCTCCTCCCTCTTCATGCAGGAGATGCAGCGCAGCTTCATGGGGTTACCCTGCACGGCCTCCGTCTCCGAGGGGACCTCCACACACACAGGGAAGCAGACTCTGACTGGAGAGTGGACAGGGGACAGAGAGGGGAGAGAGAGACAGAGTAGGCATTGAGGAAAAAGGAGGGAGGGAGGAAAGACAGAGAAGAAAGAATTATGAGATACACTTGAAAATAATGAGGTCCATGTGTTGACCCCTGCACATGAGTTCCCTGAGTACGCATGAGCAGAATGGGTGCAGAGCGAGATGGAGCAGAGGCTGATCATCCAACACTGACTGAAAGTCTTCTGGAAGCAACAAAAATGCAGCACAGGATAGACTTGACCCTGCCCTCAAAGTCTTGGCATCTAGGTGGGAGACAGACCATGCCTGTATTCATCAACTGTCCACCCAGTCATTCGTCCAGAAGTCATGGAAATCCATTGTTTTGTAGGTCTGATGCTAGTGATCCATGGATGAGCAAAACACCAACCATGCCCTTAAGGCCTTTATAGCCTAGCAGAGAACACATTTCTAATCCTGTTTAAACTGGACCACATGAGGAATCATGCTAGCAATGTGCTCTGTGCTCAGTTCCCACAGAGGGGCAGATAGTTACCTGTGTCTGGGCTCGGGAGAAGGGAAGAGAGGGCTGGTGAGACATGAGGCTAGAAAGGTAGAGAGGACCCAGTCTGTGAAGACCTGTATGTCCTTCGTAATGTGAGATATCTGCTCTAAAGCCAAGATGGAATCATGTTTTCGGACACATGGTGGATGGTGCAGCATCAGTGTAGAACATGGTGAACTGACCCCTTAGGCTTGAGCAGACTCTGTGCAGAGTAGAGAAGGCAGCTTTCAAACACTGCAGGTGTCAGACGGTGGGTCCCTTATCTGCCCCATGGAGGTTTGGACTTACAGTTCCTGCCCTCTAGAAACTCAAAGTCCAGTGAAAGAAGGTAAGTCCACTAGATTGCAGATTTAGAGTGAATCAAACATGGGACACAGCTGCCAACAAAATAAGCACAAATGTGGGTTGCATTCACAGATGTATAGTGTGCAGAAGGAAGGAGGAGTAGTGCTGCAATGTTCAGAACAAATCTGTTCTGCATAGATCAGCTCAGGATGTCACATTTTACAAAAGGAAGTTGTTCAATGAGTACATGCCCAAAGAGGAACGAGATGGCAGGCAGCCTGCCAACAAGTCTGGTGAGGAACGAATGAGGGGACATGGGATGCTGAGTTTAAACACAGAACAGGCTTGTCTTCCAACATTTGAATGCTGAAGTTGAAGAGAAATTTAATTATACTCAACTCCAAATGTTATAAAAAATAAGTTTAGTGCAGTGATATATTTTTTTTTCATCTTATTTTTTGAGACAGAGTTTTGCTATATAGCCCAGGCTGGCCTTGCACTCAAAATTCTCCTGAATCAGTCTATGATTGTTGGGTTTAAAGGCATATGCATCCACCCACAACTTCAGGAAATATTTGCTACCTAGAATTGCTGCAACATTGAGACCAGTCTGGGCTATGTAGTGAAACCTTGTCTCTTCAAAATAAATTAATAACAAATTTTAGACTGAGGATATAGCTCAGTTGATAGAGTGCTTGCCTAACATGCATGAAGCTCTGGGTTCAGTTCTCCAACACGACATAAACTGGGCATGGTGGTGCATGCTTGGAGCCCCAGCACTCAGGATATTAAGGCAGGAAAATCAGAAGTTCAGGGTCATCCTTGACTACAAATTGAATTTGAAGCCATTTGAAGCTCTGGGTTCAGTTCTCCAACGTGACATAAACTGGGCGTGGTGGTGCATGCTTGGAGTCCCAGTACTCAGGACATTAAGGCAGGAAAATCAGAAGTCCAGGGTCATCCTTGGCTACAAATTGAATTTGAGACCAGCCTGTGTTACATGAGACCATCTCAAAATATGAATAAGGAGCTGGAGAGATGGTTCACTGGTTAAGATCACTGGTTACTCTTGAAGAAGACCCAGGTTCCAATCCTAGCACTCACATGTCGGCTAACAACCATCTGTAACTCCAGTTCCTCGGGATCCAACACCCTCTTCTGTCCTTATGTACATGCGTGCATACCACTCCTACACATAATAAAGTTCAAAATACAAATAAAAATTTTAAAAATCAAAATAACAAATATTTTCTGATGTTGAAGCTCTTTATAAATACAAAAAAACTATTTGGCAAGAAATTATATCGCTAAGTATTTGCAAGATTCAAAAGTAAAGCAACGACCAGGGGTCCTGTATCAGAATTTCGAAGGCTCCTCAATGCCCCTGCTCATTAATTAATGATAAAAACAGAATCACCAGGCAGGAGAGATGGCTTAGCAGTTAAGAACACTGATTGTTCTTATAGAAGACCCATGTTCAAATCCCAGCACCCACATGGCAGCTAACAACTATAACTCCAGTTCCAGGGGATCCGACAACCTCTTCTGTCCTCCGTGGGCGTTGCATGACATGGGTGCACTTACATACAGGCAGGCATTACGTGCATACACATAAAGTAAAAATAATAAAAAACTATAAAAAACAGAATCACCAAGATGAAACAATATACAATGACATTTAAAAATTAGCTTGCTCCAAATGATCAGCTTGTTTGTCTGAGAAAAACTTAGAGCTTAAAGTAAGACTGACATGTAGGAACCGAGTCAAAAGTTAGTCAGGTTTGAAAAGCTTAGAAGTCAACAAATTTTATTTTTTATTTTAAAACTTGGAGTGTATAGCCTATTGGAGCTAAAATTAAACACTCAATATAAAAATTAATTTTAAACCCTCAAAGAACCTGGGCTATCCTTATCTGGCAATCTGTAGAAGATTGGGCTTACCACTTCAGTGGAGGAGGGACAACATCTAGGGGGAAATGATCAGAAACATTTTCAGTTTGTGATGAGCTAAAAAATCAAGGGAGCTATAGTTGTATAAAAGTTTGGACAGAGAACAGAGACTATACAGCAAGAACTTCATGTAGCATTGATCCTTGGTGCCCCCTCTATTTGATGAAAGGTAGTAAAGTCAAATTGGTTCAATGTAGATAACCTCAGAGGCATGAATGGAGGAGTCCTAAGGAATGCAGTTACACCTACAGAGGTAGGATGACAATGGTTTTTGGCACCTGAAGGATGTATTTGACTACGTCTCTAAGACTCTGTTTATTCAATAAAATGTTAAAAATAACAGCTAGTGGATAGGTCATGATAATTCAGTGGACTAATTTATGTTTATGTGCTTTAGATAAATGTCATTAAAGTTCTTTATCTTTCACTGGATAATAGTGCCAGGTATGCGTTTCATATTATAGAATGGGCCTTAAATACAATTGGAAAGTGATTGGTTATTCCCATGACATTCATGCCACTATTGCACCAGTGGGCCTGTCTTGCAAGGCTGTTTATTATTGTAGCTTGCAGAGTTCACAGCATTTGTTGACTAGTGAGGTCCCATGGACCCCCAAACATTTCAGGCTATTGTCAACACTCTTGATTACTGTTCAGAACTTGTCAGTAAAACTCTGTTGCTAAAGATATCACATACTTGAGTTATCAATCATGGAGTACTGACTTGGAGGCTTCATCCCTACCAGCTAGCTCTCATAGTGCTAGAAGGTGCTATACACCCTACTGGAGGAGAAAAGTAATCATTCAGTCTTACCTAGCTGTGAACTCTGTAAGCTACAATAATGACCAACCTTGCAAGACAGGCCCACTGGTGCAATAGTGGCATGAATGTCATGGGAATAACCAATCACTCTCCAATTGTATTTAAGGCCCGTTCTATAACATGAAACTCATACCTGACACTATTATCAGGACTGAGAACCTGTGACTAGACAGGTCATATACCATAGGGAAGAACCCACTACTATTGTTCTGCTAAATGGACATAGTATCAAACTGACTCCTAAGGACTTGTTGTTATACCTATAGACTAAAGCATTTCTTAACCCTCATCAGAGAAGCTTCTTTTTGCGGTACATGGTGATTAACCTAGAGACCCACCTCTGATCAAGGTGTGGAGAACAAAAGACTGTGGAATGCTCAGCCCTAAATAGACACCCATATCACACCCTTCTTCCCAAGGCTCAGGTATCATTTTGGAAGAGAAAGCAAAAAAAAAAAATTGTAAAAGCCAGAGGTAATGGATGACTACAAGGAAATTATCTTCCAGAAAGAACAGGGCAGTTGCACATATGAACTCACAGCAGTTGTGACAGCATGCACAAGATCTGCACAAGCTCAAGCCAGACATGAAAAAGAGAAGTGAAAATGATGTCCCACCCCTAGCTGAGCAGCTATTGCCAGTTGATAGTTGCTGGGAGAGGGAGAGTCAGTTTTCTTTAAAAGGGTGTGACTCCTGGTAGGTGGATCATGGTCCAGTGGACAGCCACAATGCCTGAGAATGACTGGGCAGCACGAATTGGACTCAGTGGGTATAAAAAAAATGAGGACAGAAAGTTGGGTGGGTAGAGAAGGGGGGGTGAACCTTGGAGGACCTGGGTAAGGGAGTGAATGTGATCAAAGTACATTGTATGAAATTCTCAAAGAACTAATAAAAATGAAGAAGAAAACAATCTTTAAGGATGAGATTGGGAGGTGATTTTGCTTGGGTGAAGTCAATAGCAGAGCTGGCTTACATTGTTGAACAGATGAGGGGGCTGTGTTCTACTGAGCAAGAAGACTTGGCAGTGGAGGTAGGAGTACAGCTAGCTGTTCAGTTGTAGGGAGGGAGGGGAGGCAGACTCCACAGAATGGTGGATATGGAATGATAATGTGTGGAGTGGGGCTGCCCTTTCCAAGATGTCATCAGAGAGCAAACCCCCTGCAAACCTCCTCATAGTTAGAGTCCAGTCTCAAGGCAAGATAACTCTGCTCCTACAATCTTGGACAGCACATTGCAAAATGGCCACAAAGTTCTCCTACCTGGTTTGCTTGCCCTCTGCAACAAGACATCCTGCTCGTTTCATCGACAGTAAAGTCTCTAGCTCCACCTTCTGATTCTTCAGCATACCACTGCCATTCTTTCTGTGACATCCTCTAGGTACCCAAGAGAAGGAAGAGCTCAACCCATAATACTAGGTATCACAATCTCCTGAAATAATTTTTCCTACATCATTGATCTTGGAACTCCTCCTCAATTTCTATAATAACAAAGAAACATGAGAAAGGAAAGTATGACAAATTAATGGTGATAATCTTTAAGAACAACCAACTCCTCTGCTCCCTCAGATCCTTCTCTTTGGTTATCATCAAATTGCCCCTCCTAAGCTTGCCCTAGAATTCTTCCTCTGCAGTAAGATAATGAAGGCTGCAATTAGAATGTAAATAATATCCAAAAAGGGGGTGGGGTTCATGATGAAGTTATTTTTAGTTGCTAACATCCTGAAATGATTTGGTCTATCAGATTAGCTGGTTACTTAGCAGGGCTTTGAAGGAATGAGATCCAGGAAGGGCTGCTAGGGCAAAAGGAAAACTCCCACAACACAACAGGCCCTGGAGAGCAAAAGTAAAGAAGGTACCGGGAGCTAAGGGATGAAAGAAGCCCTAGGAAAAGTGATGGTGTCGGGAAAGGAGGGAACTCAGAAGAGAAATCCAAGGACTGGTGTTCACCTGGCAATTACACGTAGCATCACGTGTCTACAAGAGATACCAGAAGGGTGAGATTAGAAGACATCAGCTCTCTAGCAAGTCCACTCACCTTTATGAGCTCACATTCTCAGAGCAGTCTCCCATCATTTCCCATGATGTGATGACCAAAAGACATAATGGATATTAGAATTGTAAGCAACTAAAATTTCATTTATGAATGAGGCTTTCTTACACTAAACTACCAGGAGTTCTGAAACCCTTTCGCTGAGCCAATGTTCAAGTTAAAAAGAAACTGAGAATGAATGTGATGTGTATAGTTAGATGTGTATAGTTAGTTGTGTATAGTTAGATGTGTATAGTTAGTTGTGTGTAGTTAGATGTGTATAGTTAGTTGGCCCAAACATTTTTGAGGATGTGAGGAGGATGGACCTTTTGCCAATTCTCATAATATTACGTGAACAATTTCTGCTTAGATATCATCTGTGCCAACTTCAAGACTATTCATTTACTTGGTGATCTGAAAGTGCTACTTAGTAAAAATGAAATAGAACTGAGACTCAGACCAGAGCCTTGAAAGTCCCAGTCAAAAAGTTCTAAAATTACAGTATCTCTGCTCCCTCCACTAGAATTTAGGAAGGGACCCTAAGAACTTAGAATTTGGAGACAAAAAGTCCCCTGCAGGTCCAACTAACCTTTCTCTACAACTTGAGCCTCACTCAGACCCTCTCTTATCCTGCCAGGTTAACCTCTCCTAAACTTAACATCCCTAGCATTTTCCTGGAGCAAATAAATCCCCTGATCTTCAAGACAGGTGAGCTCACTGTCAGCCTGTTATGTAGGCTTCATCTCCAAGTTTGGGGTTGCGGTGAGTCTGCCCTCAGGGGATGGCATTATTTGTCCCCCTCCCTCTTCCTAGTCTAGTCTCATTAGGCATTTTATTTAACAGGAAACTGGACTCTTCCTCTAGTCACATGAATAATCCAGATAATGTATGCAGCTACTGTTATTGTATGAGCCTGTAAAGTGATACTAAAGCAAAGAGGCAGTTCTTATGAGTGTGCCTGCCATTGCACAGGCAGAAGGAGTGCCATGCCCAGCCCTGGAGCATAATTCCACACTCCTACTTTCTATAAGAGAGGTGAGTATAATCCATTATGTTTTTTTAAAAAAATGATTTTAGCTTGGAGGAAGGAGCTAAGCCCACAAAAAGCAATCTATCAACTGAAGAGCACCTATATTTGGTCCAAGAGCCTGAATATACACATACACATGCACACACACATGCACACACGTGTGCACACACACACACTGCTGTGTTTCAACAGTCCATCCACATACCCTAACATGCTCAGGTGCATGCTAATGCACACACTCATAAACTGAGACATACATCAACACACAGTAAAACATTGTCTTTATCACATATTCGGATATTTCCATATACTCAATTCCATTGGCCCACATTCACATTCCCCACTGTAAGCTAAGCCTGAAGATGTCCTGGCTGTCCTTACTGCCACAAGGCCCTTATATGGAGGGGCAAAGTCATCTCAGTCTCTCACAGCTGACAACCAAGGCGGTGGGAGGAGGTGGAGAGGGGCCAGCTCACTAAATGCCAAAGCACCTTAGCTCCACATGGTCATGCAAAGCAAATGCACTTCCCAGCTGTCTGTCAATGAATACCAGCGAATGGCTGAAGCCTGTGTTCTTCCCATTCCTTGTTAACATTCAGCAAATGGATAAAGTATTTCCACTCTCACAATCCATGTACTCAGCTTTTGCACCTTTTAGAAAACAGGGAAATGAATCTGAAAGCCAACTGGGATGTCCAGAACTGACTCCTTGCTGAGAAATGGAATGTCACTGCAAGCTACGTTTTAAAATAATGAACGTGATTATATTCCCTCTCAGTAAAGGGAAAAGGGAGGGGAAAAAGCCCAACTTAGGAATGATCAGGAAAGGAGGAGGACTAGGAGAAACATCGAAGAAGGTTTGGAGGAAAAAAAATCAAGCCACAGGGCAGCACATAGGCACCTTGCCTTTGCAACCTCAAAACCCAGCTCTCCCGGAAGGCATGTGGATCTCCACGTCTGGCAGACATGCACAGAGTGAAGCCGAACAAAGTGCCTTTTCGTCACCAGCAGCATCACTAAGTGTCATTATTGTTAGCATGTTCCCCGTTATCTGTATTTCGCATGGCGGGATGCTGTACTTACCCCAGTAAATGAGCACGAGAGAAGCAAGGGGAAGCAATCTGTTGAAGGCAGGCATGTTTTTCGGAGGGTGGCTTTCGGGGCTAAACAGAGAGATTCTCTGTCAATGACTGCACCGCCTCTGATTCTTTCGAGGAAACCCTTAGGGATGAACTGCCCCCAAGGGGGCGACTTTCTGAATGGAAAAAAAAAAAAAAAAAAGT